CAGAAATAGTGGGAATAGAAATCTATATTCTCTCTTAATTTTGGCTTATTATTTAATGGCAAAAGATGACACCAAATAAAAAAGACTATGAATGAGCATACATGCTTCAGTAGAGTTAGGGCTTTAAAAATGGATGTTAGGAAAAGACACAATAGAACAATGTGGGGTCAGGAGTGACTTCAATTTGGGTTTTTCAGCCTGTGGTTAAACACAATATCTTTCCAGAATAAGAGAACTTTTAGGAAATAAAAAGAAAGCATTTAAAAGATTTATTTATCTATTTATTTGAGTGTGTGTGTGTGTGTGTGTGTGTGTGTGTGTGTCTGAGTGTGTGCCAATTATGTGTGGGTGAGTTTTGAGGATAAAACAGTGCATAGATACCCTAAACCTGGTATTGCATGCATTTTTGAGTCATTCAATTGATGGGATGTGGAAACTAAATTAGAGTCCTCAGAAAGGAGAAAACACTTTTTATGGCTGAACTATCTCTCTATCCCCCACATTTTAATTTAAAATGAAGAAATGGACAAGCAGAAGGAAATATATTTTCTTCAAATTATAAATATTGATACTGTATACATGTTAGTATTATAATATATATCGTTCCCCAATCTACATTCATCAAGATTTAGAGACGTGCCTAGCAACTTAAAGAAAAAAAAATAAGAAAATGAATAAGGAATTGTTTAGAGAAAGTCTACATCCCTCACTTTGTAATTGTATGGCCTTCTAGACTATCCTTTATTGGAACTGCTACCTGCTTCCATGTGACTAATAATATGAGTTTTTATCAGTGTTTGTGAGATTGGTATATAATATTGTATTTACTTCACCTTTCAAAGACAAATTGATATTGTTTTACATGTATATAAGAATACTTTTACAGGTACATGAAATTTTGACCATCAAGCTAGAGGGGAAAAAAGCATAACTTACCCAAAATTTCACTGTAAAACTGATCCCATTTCTTCTTATTAAATGTCTGGAAACAAAAGTCAAAATAAAGCATGCATATCATATTATGAAGTCTCTCCATGAATGTCATTTGACCACTTAATGTTGACAGAATCATAGGCACGTAGGAGGGCGGATGTGGGAGTCCTCCACTGTACTTCTCTATTGTGTACCCAGGAGTGAAGCGGAGACTGTACACCAAAGGTGTACTCAGCAACTCAGCTATTAGCTCACCACAGGGAGCGAGGGCATCTGAAAGCACGACGTCAAACTTGGATTCCTGTAATTTGGTCATAAGTTTTTTGTTCAAAACAGCATCTTTACAAATACTTTGGCAAATATCAGAATATTCTGTAAACAGGTTTTGCAGTATTGGAGAATATGCCAAGCATGTATCTCTCGACACCTTGTGTGTCCACACATTCACCACATTGGTGAAAAATAATTCCAGATCTTCTTTACTGACAGATGTAGGAAACACTTCAAATTTAAGGCCAGATGATTTGCTGGTATCAAGAAAAATGGAAGCTGATGGTCTCAGAACAGTCACTTCATGGCCCCTCTCTACAAGTTCGCCCAGTATTATCTTTAAGTTCATCCAGTGCCTGCATTCCATAGGCCATGCCAACACCTTCCCACAGTTCCCAGATCTGAAGCAACAACTCATCTGCAGCAGCAGCACAGCTGGAATCCATTTCATAGCCATCTCTTCAGCTTTGGTTTCCCTCTGTTGTTGTCTGTCCTTGTATCTGAGTAGAAACTGACCAGTAAGTTGAAATGTAACTTGTGTTGGTCAAAGCAAATATACTAGATGGCCAGCTACAGCACGTGGACTGATGGGAGACAGACAAAGTAAATTTTAATTATTTCATGTTTGCATGCCAGCGCTCGTGGTCTATTTCGTAACAAAATGCTCTTGCCTAACTAAGAGTCAATGACCTTTGTGTGTGAATCATTAGAGATCTTAGAATACTTCCAAGGACAATTGTGAGAGTTGACTTGTCACTGAGTTCTCCTCTTACAAAGAACACAAGATGTAACAATTACACAAAAAATTACAACTCACTGGGCAGAATTTTCAGAAAATTTTGAAAGAATGTTGATAAATATATTGACTTACATACAATATCCTAATGCATTTATAATCATGTGTTACTGCCTTGAGTAAAAGGTTTTAATAATTTTATATGCAATCCTCCTCCTCCTCCTCCTCCTCCTCCTCCTTCTCCTCCTTCTTTGATTTATTTTCTCCATGGGGATTTTGGCTACTCTAACTTTGTCCCCTCTGAAGAGGTAACCCTGAAATCTTTTGGGGATTGGGTAAAAACTCCCAAATATTTTTGACATCTTCGACATTGGGAATGAAATATGTTGCTAAGAGGCACAAGGACATTGTGAGTTTTAGCCAAGAGACTTCTTTGGGGTCTTTTTTCCCTAATTTCCTAGCCAATTCCTACCTCCTATTCTTATCACACCATCCTCTGAAGAGGTTACCCAAATTGCCAATAGGGAATAGGGACACAGACCACTCTGGCTTCTTCCATGCTGAACAGGGACACAGGATGAGGCAATTAGAGTACCCCTTCAGTGGGTCTATTGAAGACTCCCAAATTACATAAATCTTATCTCTATGGGGAAAAGAAAGTCCTTGAGCCCTGAATAGGGGATGTGAAGTAAAGGCAAGAGTAATTAGCATTACGTGTTCTAGACAGGGAACTAGAAAAGTCAGAAAGGGCAGTTTTCAAATGTTCATATGAGAATCCACTGGAATTTCTTGATGAGTACTTCCAAAAGCATCCCTCTATTGGGTTCCTACTCATTTTTCTTTTGTGTTCCAAGGCTGGACTTGAGAGTGATGGACCCAGAATGTGTTTTCAGGCACTTCGATAGCTGTTGGAGTGGCTAGAATCAGTGTCAGTTTCATCTCAAAGGCTTCTAGATAGGGAGAGAAAACAAATTTATTCATCATTTTAGAACAATAACTGGTTGTCTCCCTTAGCTACATGTGGGCACTACAATATTAGAGACCAAGATTTGAAGTCTTACATCTGAGCAGAACTTTCTGGTAAGGAACGAAATCATCAATGAGAAATAATTGTCTAAATAACGTTTTATATAGACTTAAGTCTAATGTCGGGGAAATATAATCCCTTGACCTCTTAAAGAAATAAACTGATTACTCTTTTTTGGGGTGTTTAAGACCACACACATGGCCCAAAATGAATCAATTTATTTTTACACTTATGGTCTTTTGAGGATCTGTTCCTCAGGGGTTACGTGGGCTTGGGAGGAACTTCTGGCTCCTTTCTTTTACCAGTTCCATCTATGTGAAGGTAAGTCAAAGGTCCTGCTCGACATGTCTGGCTTTACTTGGAAGCATGAATAAGATGGTCCCCATGACTTGACCCTCCTCTTTGTAGACTGGACACTCATGGACTGGACTCATTCATCTCATGGGGTATCCATGTCCCCACTGAACAAGAGGACAAGTAACTCACCACAGTTATAAGACATTTTGAGGGGTGTTCCATAGTCCCTTTGAACTTAATTGACCTTGAGAGCAAGGGGCAAAAACTGTCCTCTGACCACATTAGTATAGGCTTCTAACTATGGCTGTTAAACATTCAATATGGTTAGTTCCACCAGTCTAGTACTTTTAATTATCATGTGCTATGTAGATAAAGCTTGGGTAAAAAAACCAAAGATTCTCAGATTAATCTTGACTAGATATATATTTTGTTACTTAGACTAGTTGACTAAACTATGATCATAGAAATTTTAATATTATGTGTACATTATTTTTGTCTAATCCTTTATATATCATAACAAACCTACACAGACCTTCATCACTTGCTTAGGCTTTCTCATTTTTTCCATTTTGGAAAATATCTCCATTCCCATATACTTTTAACATCCTTTATATTCTCACTTTCTTTTTCTAAAGTAATTATGAGACATAATAGAAGTGTAAGACAGCCTGTCCCCATTTGCCCTTTAATTCAATATTTACAGGTAGGCGTGTGTGGTCAGGCAATTTTTCTTCAGAGGTCATACACCACCAGCTTTTTACTGACTTAGCTAATCTTTCTATCTAAGAAGGAGTTTCCCTAAGCCAAATAGTTTTTCCTTATACCAAACTTTAGTCTCAGTAGTTCCTCATTTAAGGTTAAAGTCATAAACTCCTGTAAAAGGCAGCAGGGCATTTATTGCATGCTACCTTTTCCTTTTGGGAGAAACCAAGTCTCATTATTAATCACAAATGCAGGTCCAAATGAGATCATAGTCATAGGAGGAAGTCTTATTACTTTCATTTTGTTTCAGTAACATAATAATTTTGCTAAAGGCAGAGATTTTCCCGGTTTAGTGTTAAAGTCATAAACTCCTGTAAAAGGCAGCAGGGCATTTATTGCATGCTACCTTTTCCTTTTGGGAGAAACCAAGTCTCATTATTAATCACAAATGCAGGTCCAAATGAGATCATAGTCATAGGAGGAAGTCTTATTACTTTCATTTTGTTTCAGTAACATAATAATTTTGCTAAAGGCAGAGATTTTCCCGGTTTAGTTTCCCATTCCATCATCAGAGTTGGTTATCAGAATACTTAAAGAAGGGAAGGTTATAAAAATTACAAAAACCAGGAGTAGCTGGGGAAGGGATATCCACCAAAAGAGTGGCGGTCATCGGCTTTCAGCTGGAACTTTGTCAAACAGCACTCTTGCCAAGAACCACGGAACTCTTGGAGCCAGCAGGAACCAATGAATTTATTGAGCTTACTTATCATGATATGTGAGGGGTTGCTGAGATGTATGTATAACCTGAGTGTATGCACAGTGGAAAGCCATTATCAACATGGGTCATGCCTTCTCTTCCTAGCCTTCTCCAGGTTGTATACTTTAGCCCTCCCCAAATCTAGGAGACTATGTGTGATTAGGGCCAAATTACATACATTTGGCTGAGAAGGCTGTGAAGAGAGGCTGGATACACTGGTGAGGGTCCAATGAACCTGTTTGGCCCTCCTTTAATGAATGGGCACAACTGTCAACAAGCCCAATTGTGATGATGTTAGTGATCAGGCACAGTGAAGTCATGATGATGGTAGTTATTTCATACAGATGGGACTGCTGTATAGCATCATGTTATTAAAAGAACCTGACATTTAAAGGATTTGGTACTACAGTCCACATATGAGGGAGAGCATGCACAATCGTTTTTCTGAGTCTGTGTTACTTCACTTAGTATAACAATTTCTAGAGCCATTCATTTACCTGCAAATTTCATTAATTCATCTTTCTTTACTGCTGAATAGAATGCCATTATGTAACTAGACCACATTTTTGTTAACCACTGGTCAGTTGAGGGATACTTAGGTTGCAACCATCTCTTAGCTATTGTGAAAAGAGCAGCAACAAACGTTGTACAAGTGTCTCTATAATAGAATGAGTTCTTTGGGTATATGCCAAGGAGTGGTATAACCTGGTCATATGGTGGGTTCATTTTTAGCTTTTTAAGAGTTCTCCAAACTGTTTTCCATAGAGGTTGCACAAGATTGAAGCCCCACCAGCAGTGAATGAGTGTTCCCTCCCTTTCTACACATCCTTGTCAGCATTTCGGATCATTTGTTCTCTTGATCCTAACCAGTCTGATTGTGGTAAGGTGATACCTTAGGTTGGGTTTAATTTGCATTTCCCTAATTACTAACAATGTTGAACACTTTTTGAGATGTTTCTTAGCCATCTTTATTTCTTCCTTTGAGAACTCTCTGTTTAGACCTTTAGCCCATCTTTAATTGGGTCATTTGGTTTCTCAATTCTTTCTTTTTGAGTTCTTTATACATTCTGGATGTTAAACCTCTGTCAGATGTGTCACGGGTAAAGTTTTTTTTCCATTCTTTGAGTTTTGATTGTTTCTTTTGCTGTACAGAACCTTTTTAGTTTAATGAGGTCCCACTTGTTGATTGCTGACCTTAATTCCTGAGCAACTTCTGTCTGATTTAGAAAATTCTTTCCTACATTTATATCTTGTATGTTACTGCCAATATTTTCTTCTAATTGTTTCAGGGTTTCCAGTTTCACATTGGTGTGTTGTTTCCATTTGGAGCTGACTTTTGTGCAAGGTGAAAGATAAGGATCTAGTTTCATTGTTCTGTGGGTGGAAATCCAGTTTTGCCAACACCATTTGTAGAAGATGCTGACTTTTCTCCAATGTGTGTTCTTCGCACATTTGTCAAATATCAGGTGGCTGAAATTCTGTGTACTCAGGTTTGGATCTTCAATGATGTTCCATTGATCTATGTGTCTATTTTTGTGCTAGTACCACACTGTTTTTATGACTATAGCTCTGTAGTATACTTTGAGGTCTGGAATAATTTTCCCAGAGTTGCTTTTTGTGCTCATGGTTGTTTTGGCTATCCAGGGTCTTTTCTGCTTCTATATGAATTTAAGGATGGTTTTTTCTAGTTATCTGAAGTACATGTGTCCCAAGCAGCCTGGCTCCTCAGAGGGTCAGGGCCTGCTTGGAGAACTGACTGCAGAGAGTTAGCCATGGAGGGATGGGCTTTTGGGTGCCATCTTGGGATGGAAGTGGTGTGGCACATAAAAAAGATGGTCCCAGGATCTCACCCACATTGTCACGAGAGAGCCTATTTACCAACCTGGGGCAAGACTGTAGGCCCATGATGCATGGGTAAAAGCTAACAGAGACTGTGGGTGGGTGCAGAAGGGATCTGGAATGGCAGGCCTAACAGCAGAGCTGGGTGCTCGGTGTTGCATGTTCCT